TGTGTGTGTGTGTGTGTGTGTGTGTGTGTGTGTGTGTGCACGTTTGTGTCTGTGTGTCTGTCTGTTTCTCTGTGTGTGAGTCTGAGTGAATGCCACATAAATGCAGGTGACCCTTGTAGACCGAAGGGGGGCATTGGATCAACCTGTAGCATCAGTTACTGGTGGTTTGTGAGCCACTTGGCATGGGTGCTGGGATTCAGGCTCTGTCCTCTGGAAGAGTAGCAAGCACTGTGAAATCTAAGCCAGATCCCCAGCCCTACATCTGTCTTTTGAGTGTGACCCGTTGATCCAAAAAAGCTTTAGACTTTGGAGAATTTTGAATTTTCAGATTAGAAATCCTCAACCTGTATCTAACTGTTCTGGGAAATATTTAGGTAACATTTTGATTTCTATAAAAATTTCCACACCAGAGCGTATAAAGACAAAAGAGGGATGAAAGTGTTAAAAGAGCTTCAAGAAACTGTGCCATCAAACTGTTAAGATCTTTTGCAAGCAAACTGAAAAGCAAAAACTGAGCAAGGTGACAAGAAAGCAGCTACAGAAATCACTCTAAACCAATGGTGGGAAGTCCTAGAAACTTCACTGGGCAAGGGATTCTCTACCTCCTTCAAAGCCCTCCTTAAGGAAACGTTCAGAAGTTCTCAAAACATACATCCTCCGTATGGAAGCCAAACAAGCTGTAGCTGAGAAGGGTGATGGATTCCAGATACCTTAGTCCAATTCAAACTTGAGTTCTTCCTGTAAAATCGGAGCTAATATCAGCTAATTATTGAATCATGACCAGAATTAAGTACTTGATAAAGTCTTGAGACAATAGATTAGCAATGTTACTCCTCTAGATCAGTCTTTTCTTTGTCATTGTTTCTCAAAATGTGGAACCCTACAACTGCATCAGGATCTCTGGGTATTTATCACAAAGGTTAATTCCATACTTTTTGTCATATACCACAAGCTTAAGGGCCATTTAAAACAAGCAATTTTAACCAGGCCGGTGGCACAGCCACCGGTCCAGTTACTAGAGAAGCTAAGACAGGAAGATGGCAAATGAAAGACTATGTAGGCAACAAACCAATTTCAAGACCAACCTGTGAACTTAAGGAGACTTTGTCTTAAGATAAAAAGTTTAAAAAGGGACTGGGGGTTCAGCTCAGTATGATAGCAAGGCCCCAAAGGTTCAAGTTTCCACCCTGCAAAAATTAAGCTGTCATAACCTATTTAACTTCACTGGCCTGTTCATACTCCAAAAACAATTATAGAACTTTCCCCAAAATAGTTTGTGAACTTAATGGTCAAGAGTAGTGAATTTTTCACTTTTTGAGGGGTGCGTAAACAGATATAGCTTTAAGTATCTGTCTTCATCTCCCAAGATACCCCAGTGTTTACACATGTCTGTTTAGGAGAAATAAAAGTAAGTTCTAACCTCTCATAATGCAAAAACTACTTATTAAGTGATCCCTAAATTTAATTAAAATCATTTAATATTAATAAGACAAAGTCCAACCTGTTAATTTTGGATATCCAGTAATGGGTTAGGAATGTAACTCGGTAGCCTACATAGTATGGTCCAGGCCCTGGGTTTGAGCCACAGTCCAAAAAGACAAAAGCTGAAAGGAATAGCAGATAGCTAAGTAGTAGCTTTTTACTTCCAAGCATGAGACAATGTATATGTATATTTTTTGCCCAAATCAAAAATATCTGTCATGGATATTTTTAATATCTAATTTTATTAACTTCTGATCTGGTGTAATGTCTAATTTTGGCATATACTTCATGACAGCTAAAAGAGAGAGACTTGGAATTGCTGATGGGAGAAACTCTACAATTTTATGATAGTTGGCAGCATTCTTCACATAAAAGTCAATTCTTAAAACCCACAAGCTCCAGAACATAAAAATAAACGTCTGTTCACATATTTATTTCCAAAAGTGGTTATTCCAGAATAAGTATTCATCACATAAAACTTAGCTGAATCAAGTAAGAAATAATTATCAAATGCGAACACCAATCCAAAGCACAGATTTTATGCTCTTCTGTTTTGCTTCTTTCCTAGATAAAAGCAGGAAATTGGTAGTATCCTTATTACAAAATTCTGACCACACACATTGGCCTTTACAAGTAATTCAGGGGGAAAAAAAGTCAATAGAAACTCCTGAGATACAGCAGTCTTCAGCGTGGCCAAGAAACCTCTGACAATAAAAACACTCTCTATTCCTGAGGAGAGACCCTTGTGCTATTCATAAAGACATGTCCCATTTCCTTTACTAGGTAAGTGGCAAACATAGGACAGCCAACCAAATCTATCCATTCTGTTTACTCAAAACACTTCTCATAGGCTTTAGCACAGAAATCTCCACCCCAGAAGAAGCTGGTTCAAACACACTCATTAGCATCTTTGGTTACAAGGGCAATACAGTGTGTAGATACTGCTAATAAGAGCTCTACGATGGCTAAGTCAAGACTGAAAAGTCCTATAGGTAGATACAAATGCAGTCTACACTGCCTAAGTTCTTTACAAGTCATTATGCAAAGTACAGCTCTTTTCTGAAATGTCAAACATATTGATAGTATCCATCTCACAATGGAGTCAATCACAAACATTCTATACTACCAGTCAATTGGAAAGTCACTGAATGTGATTCCTTTAGTGTACTTGAAGATAGTTAGGTCTCCAAGGGGCATACATAAGATAAGAACATGTCTAATTGGTTCTTCACAATCACTTCATCTGGATGCAGCTTGTGGGGTAGATGATGGGCCAAGGTCATCTCCCAGGCATCAACAAGATAGACTCCAACCCCTGAGAACATCCTCCGAAGAACAGTGTCCAGTTGAAAGTTGTACCAGTCACTGTTGAAAAGGCTCACCTCAGGCCCCAGCTCTTGGGCATTGCCTGTCCGGATGACAACCACAGTCTTAGGGCTTCGGTCCAGGAGCTGGACCACTGCTCGTCGGATGTTCCTGAGCCTGCGAATATATACTTCCAAGGGGAAGGTGCTAAAGTGAGACCATACAGCTATGGCCACCACTGTGTTCTTCCCTCCCACAATCCCATTCAGTTCATTTGCCACATAATGAAGCTCATTACTGAAGACGCTCGTGAATCGGATGGGTGGACCGTGGCAGCGATATTTGAGCAAGATGTTGTGCTTCTGGTCCACTGCGAGGAAAGGACCAACGTTCTTGGGACTCCCCAAGTTAAACTCCACCAAATCTGAAACAAGGAAAAAATCAAATTCATTACAACCTTCAATCTAAACACATACATTCTGAATATTCAAGTGGCTTTGCAAAACAGTTTCAAAAATAGCCGTCCAACAAAGAGGGGCATAAGGAAGTTTTATACTGGGCAGATTCCTCTGTGGATTTCATTGCCAACAAACATCATTACATTCAGAGACTGTGATGTAGTTGAAATGTGAGATCTCTGTGCTACAACACTTGAGAGCTTCCTTGTTTAATAAAAATATATGAGGTCAAAACAAAAAGTAATGCCTATTACCTGTGCCCCATTTTCAATCAATGGACCTTTAGTCTAGTGCCCTAATTATTCAAACATAACATAATAAGCAACATTATCAGCGAAAGAGTCTATATATGTCTAATATGGTTACCTCCATTAAGACAAGAAATCGTGCTATTTTCATAGATCATAGAATGTTTAATTTAAGAATAAAGTTGGCATTCATATATTATCCTTCTAATAGGTGAGTATTTTCTCTTCTAGGATGGGGGCTGTAACTTCTGTTTTATGAGCTCATTTCAGTAACCACACAAATCTTTTGGGAAATCCTGCCATTTGCAAAAACATGAATAAGCCTGGAAGGATGCCACACTAAGTGAAATAAGCCAGACACAGAAAGATAAATATTCCATAACCTTCCTTATATGTAGTAACTTTAAGAGTTTAACTCTCTGGGAGCTGGAGAGATGGTTCAGCGGTTAAGAGCACTGAATGCTCTTCCAGAGGACCTGAGTTCAAATCCCCGTATCCACAACTGTCTGCAACTCCAAGATCTGCACACTCATACAGACATACATGCAGGCAAAACACCAATGCACATAAAAATAAACTAAAAAAAAATTTTTAAGAGTTTAATTCTGAGAGAGGAGAAACTCACTGGAAGTGGGGGAGCATGGAAACAAAGGGGAGTGGTTAACCAAGGACACCTATTCTAATCCAGAAGAGTCAGTTTGTGAGACCTGCTGCACAGCAAGGTGGCTGCAGCTGACAACAGCATATGTCAGAAACACCTGAAGAGACATTAAATGTTCTCACTGCAAATAAATAGTATATGAAGGGAGAGGTGAGTTGCTTGGCTTGACAAGGATCATTATATCACTATATCCCATGGTACCCTATAAATACATGCAATTATTTGTCGGTTAAAAATAAACTTTTAAACCAAGAATGGCAGCATATAATTAATACCAGCACTTGGGAGGCTAAGACGGGGGATTACTGAGTTCAAAGCTATCCAGGGCAAAAGAGAGAAATCTAGCCTCAAAATAGGTAAACAAATAAATAAAATTTTTAGAAAGTAGAAAAATCTAAATTCATACTCCTGAATTTAAGGAGAGACAGGCACAGAGAGAGAGAGAGAGAGAGAGAGAGAGAGAGAGAGAGAGA